CTCTTCCTTAAATGTTTTGAAAAATTCTGTGAAACCGTCCGATCTAGGGCTTTTGTGTGCTGGGAGTTTTTTTTTTTTATTACTGCTTCAACTTCCCCAGCTGTTATTGGTCTGTTCAGGCTATCTGGTTCTTCTTCATTCAGTGTTAGTTATACTTTTCTAGAAATTTGTCCATTTCATCAAGATTTTCAAATTTCTTAGCATATAATTGCTCACAGTAATTTCTTACAATCCTTTTTTTTTCTGTGATATCAGTTGTTATTTCTCCTCTTTCATTTCTAATATTATTTATTTGGGTCCTCGCCCTTTTTTTCTTGATGAATCTGCTTAAATGTTTGTTGATTTTGTTTATCTTTTCAAAGAACCGGCTCCTGGATTGGTTGATCCTTTGAATTGTTCTTTTAGTCTCTATGTCATTCACTTCTGCTCTGATCTTGATTATTTCCTTCCTTCTACTTGCTCTAGGATTTTTTTGTTCTTGTTTCTCCAGTTCTTGAGGTTGTAGGGTTAGGTCACTTATTTGAAATGTTTCTATCCTTTTTAGGTAGGCCTATATTGCTATGAACTTCCTTCTCAGGACTACCTTTGCTGTGTCCCATTGGTTTTAGACTATTGTGTGTTCATTTTCATTTGTTTCCAGCAATTTTTTAAATTTCTTCTTTGATCTTCTTATTGACCCATTCATTGTTTAATAGCATGCTATTCAGTCTCCACGAGTTTGAATGTTTTTGAGTTTTTTCCTTCAAGTCGGAAATTGAACTTCTCAGAAGGCCATGTTAAGTAAACAGTTAATGTCAATATCAATCATTAAATCTTCGTTTTAAAAGGCATTTTATGAGGAGAGTTCTTTTTATCCCTTTTCTTTTGTAATTTATTTTCCTTTGGATACTTAGATTAGGCTTGAAACCACGCCCTATAGCTTGTACATTTTATTTTGCTAATTGCCAGTGAACCTTTTGTGGTTTCAAGTGTTCTCTCTTGACCTATATTTTTATTTTGCGCAGAAGATAGCTTAGAGCCACCACTGCTAGCTAAAATGGATTATATCCATGTTCACCCCCACTCAGTCACTGTCAAGGGTGGTATCATTTCTCAGCTCTCCCATTTGCAACCCTACAAACATTTTATACTGTTTTCTCCTTCTCCATTAACCATTCTTCCACTGGGGTATTTTCATACCATTTTTAAGCATAGTTGTCTAATTTACCCCTTTTTTCCCATTATTTTATAGATTTTCATGGCCTATCATGTATTAATATAACAGCCTCTTGGTTGACTTCCCAGATTCCATTAGCTTCTTAACTAGTCAGGACTCCATTGCCAGGATATGCATCCACAAATACCATTTTTACCATAGGAACCTCTACATAAAAATTTGTAATAAGATCCTTCCATCACCTCTTTCCTTTTTTACCCTCTCCATCCTCACCACACGCCCCCTTCTCTCTAGTAATCACCATACTGTTGTCTGTCAGTTAGATGGGTTGTTTTTTCGTTTAGTTCCTTCACCTTTATCACCCAGCCCCCACACCCTCTCCCCTCTGACAGCTGTTCTCTGTACCAGAAGGCAACTTGCGGTGGTGAACACACAATACAATACACAGAGGATGTATTATAGAATTGTACCCCTAAAACCTATATAATTTTATTAACCAACCCGAATACAATAAAAATAATAATAATAAAATTGATAACAGGTTAACAGGATCAAATATGACTTCTACACCCTCTTTTTGAAGTTCATGCAGCAATTATTGACCACCCATATTTACCTCAACAACCCCTCTTCCTCCCGTCCTCCTTCCTTCTCTCTCTCCCTCTGTTTCTCCCTTCCTTTGCCTGTTTCTCCTTCCACCAGCCCCATTTCTCTGGTTCCATACGGGAAGTTTCTATTCAAGTTACACGTTGCTTGCTGCCACTAGTCTATGACTTGCTATTTCAAAGCTCTTGTCCTTTGCAGATGTCATTTCTTCAGGTTGAGATACCTCTACCCACATCACTGACTTAAAAATTATTTAGGGAAGCTTTTCATGATTGCTTCTGAATGCTCACTTCATCAATTCAATATCTTCTAAGCATGTACATTCCATTTGTATACCCAGTTATTACTCTGTATGTACATTTTAGGCTGTTTCCTGTATTGATTTGGTGTCACATCCAAGCAGGTTATAAATATGTTGAGGACAATTGCCCAGCCTGATTTTTCTCCTCCTGCATTTTTATGAGGCTCTCTACCCAAGAAGCTTTCAATGCATGTCAACTGACTTTTGGGCATTGTTTTCTAGACATAAACAAAGGTGAAATCATCGTCATTGTTACAGGGTCAGTCAGAGTTTCCACATAGTTTGCATGGAGTCTTTGTCTAACATCTTTACTCAGATTTGGAATAACCAGAAAGAGGAGAGTATACTATTTGCCAAGCACTTAATTCTGTATTTGTGACTGCAGTTCAATTCAGTACATATATTGAGTACCTGACAGGTTCCTAGGAAAATGCTAAGTGTCCAGCCAAGTTATTCTCAAATTCTGAATTCATCATAGTCCTCAGGAGGACTTGTCAAAACCCAGATCACTGATCCCTGCCCTAGAGAGTCTTGCTTTGTAGGTCTGGGGTGGGTTCTAAAATTTTACATTTCTAACAAGGTCTCAGATAATACTGGTGCTGCTTGTTTAGATACCACACCTGGAGAACTAGTGATCTAAGCAGTACAAAGGAGGATCTAAGACATGATCTCTGGTTTTATAATATATTTAGGGAGACAAGCCAGGCTCAGGAAACATTTAACAGCAGAAAGTACTGTAGAATGTTTTAGTATTTATTCATTCAAGAAATATTTAATGAATAATAACTACATGCCGAGCATTGTTCTAGGTACTGCTATTATATTAGTCAACATGATAGACAACAATCCTTGTTCTCATTTCAAGCCTAATCTCATAGGGCAATTCTAATGGGAAAAAGCAGGCAATGAAATATATAGAATGTAAGATGGTTTATATGCTAAGAAGAAAAAGAAAAGAAGGGGGATAAGAAATATCAGAAGGGTTTGAAATTTTAGATAAGTGGTCAGAGAATATCTTCCAATTCCATCATTTGATGAGTATTTATTGAGTGAAACTATGTGTCAGGCATTGTTATAGATGGTAGTGATACAGCAATAAATAACGCAAGTAATAAACCCAGCCCTTATGTAAGGTACACATTTATTTGAAAGCCAAGAAATCTGGGAGTTTGGTGTTAACTTTCATGAACTCATTATGTGACTGTGAATGGCTGATACTCCCCTTCTCTGAGCCTTGGTTTCTCCATCTGTTAAATGGAGCAGCTGGACAAAATTATACTTGAACTCCTCTGCATATCTTGGGCTACAGGAAGCTTAGTCCTTGAGGCAATTGAAAATATGTAAGAATGCTTGAAGAAGACTTTGTAGAGGGAGAAAAAACTTAATGGTTTTCTTAGGCACAGGGGACCAATGGGATTTGCGAGGTGAGAAGAAAACTGCAGAAGAAGAATAACATGAGCAAAAGCATGGAAGCAATAATGGGAGCTGCATGTTCAATAAAGAACAAGGTCAGAGAGTTCCCATTGTAATGTAGCTGAGATAGTTGGGTGGGAGGTAAGTGCTCAATAAAGAGGAGGTTGCAGCTAATTATAGAGCATCTTGGATGGGAACCCACTAATGGTTTTGATGAGGAAATGCTACAATCAAAGTGATATTTTAGGAAGATTAACATAACAACCAGAGTTAAATCTTCAAAATTCATAATTTTTTTCATAAGATGATCTCTGAATCACAAAAAGTTAAAGTCATAATTTGTTAATGGCACTGACTGATTATAAAATGCTATCAAACTAACATTGAGTTGTTTTTCAAGCCTTAAAAGCCAATAATACTATATAATTTTCCCTAAGAGTACTATCATATATTTGAACCAGAGACATATTACTATTTAGACTTAGATTTTGAAAGCTTGGGAGGTAAATTAAAATAGAAAATTCTTAATGATATATTCTTTTGTATTTCTTGTTATCTTATAAAATATATGGTTGAATCAATATCGGGTTTATCCTCATCTACATAGATAGATAACTCTCTCTATATATATCTATTTATCACTGCCTCTATTTCTACATGCACACATGCACACAAATAGTTCTCAGAGCGGTGCAAACATCTCTAAAGACCAAGTTTTTCCTATCTGCTTGCTTGATCATAGGTAACAAAGGTAATGTTCTTCGGAATTATCATCTAGTTTTTGATCTTTAGTCATCTGAGAAATATTCATATCTCTTGTACATTTACAGCTCTCCAGGTTGTGGTCTTCCTAAAGGCAATTACTCTGGAAGACAGTAATGATAAGGGTTAGCTGTTCAATGAGTGGATATGTAGCTTTAGAGAAAGGTGTCTCAGGCAAAAAAAAAAGAGAAGGCTATCTTATATATCGGTTATGTAAATACTCCAACCTTAGCAAGTTTTACCTTAACTTTCAGATTTGTCATAACTTCACAGAGACACAATGGTGAATTTAACAAATCATGACAGACCAAATACTCAAAGCTTTCATTTGTTAAGAGTAGTTTAAACAAGTTAAATATTACCTGCAGAATACTTAACTATCACTGGAATAAAATAAGCAAGAGTGACAATGATGGTTATATTAAAATAGAAAGTGATTATTTTCCAAATTATGGGAAATGTTGATTGATGTTCTGTTTTAGAGAATGGTAACTTTCTTTGGAATTGTTTTGACAAACAACACACACTCAGAGGGAAATCCTTTAGTGTTGCTTTTTTTAAAAAAAAAAGGAAGGTTTTTAAATATTTTGCTTTTTTTCCTTTTTATTGACTTTATTGGGTGACACCATTGTTGCTTTTTAAAGGATAGCTAAAACAGCTAGAGAACTTCAGGATTGTAGAAACAAAATGTTACTGGGTCACAGGGGTGATATTTTCCCCTTCTGTATATGTATGATTTTTTTATTTCTTTTTAATAAACAGGGGATGGAGAATTGTCGTGGGAACATTCTGATGGTGATATATTTCGGCAACCTGCCAACAGAGAAGCAGTAAGTGTGAATAGCTCAAATAATTCAACACTCCAAGCATCGGGCCAAACTTTCCTCTCTCCATGGCTACTCTCCCAGCAACTCCATAAAAGGGCCTATTTCTAACACTATTTTTCTTGCCTTTCCTCAAAAATTTAAATGGCATCATCACCAACTTGTAACCATTTAAGTGCACTGTATAATTGGTAACCAGGGCCAAGACATAAAAAACAAAACAAAAGCAAAGCAAACAAACAAACAAACAAACAAACAAAAACATTGCACCAGCCCTTGGGAACCCTTCTTCTAGATCAGAAGTTGGTTCCCTTTCTGGATGACTTGTAAAATGTTTGTCTTCTATAAGCAGGAAGGTCACTACACCTATCCAGAACAGTGAGGCTATTCTGTGGATTGTGAAGCAGGTCAGCCCATCCTTTTGGCAGAGGTACCTTAGACATATCCACATAAACCTTCCTCTAAGCCTTAAACTCACTCATATCCCTGGAAGAAAGGAAAGGTAGCAGGCTAGATGCTCCTTCTTCATCCTGCAACATCTCATTTTTATTCTTGGTGCTAATCTTAGAATGAGCTCTAGGAGTAGGCATCTCTCTGCATATAGTAACATCATCTCTTGTTCCTTTGTATTTTGAAGTCATTAAAAAAATAGAATCTCTCTCTAAAAATATGTATGTTTAAGTACAGCAACACTCAAGACTTCTTAAAATCTTAAAAGGATCTGTCCCAGTTCTAAGAGCTTATCATATTAAAGGACTTACAAATGTGTAAAATGTGTACAAAGGCATTCATTGTACATAAATGAGTATTCATCACACCATTGTATAAAAACAAAGTACAGTGGCATTCAATGCAACATTACTTTCATAAAAGCAAAACAAATAGACAACCTAAGTATCTATAAATAGAGGCATGATAAAACACCTATTCTGTGGGACCCTGTGCAGGTGTTAAAAAGAATGCAATAGATAGAAATGTAGTAAAGTTGAGGGATGTCAAATATATATTGTGGAAGCAAAACAAGGGGCAGGACACAATTTATACTATTATATCCTTATGTAAAAATTGCGTGTGTGTGTGTGTATGTAAATGTAAATGAAAAGATCTGGAAGGTCACATACTAACATGTTAGAGTGGTAATCTCAGAAGGGGTGGAGAATTGGGCACAAGGACAGGTCAACTTTGACTTTTTACTTTATATCTTTTGTATTGTTTGATGTTTTGCAATGAATATAAATTAATTTTAATAATATTTAAAGAATTTTCTAAAACCACAGGAATTAGTTCTCAACATGCATTGAATAAAAGGCAAGAGTATAGGAGATTATAGGGCAGACATATAGTGAGGGTGTGAGGAAGGTGTTGGTAGGAGATATAATAAAATGATCAATACAAACATAACAGTGCTGCTGAGGCCATGCTTCAGGGACATCACATGTGTCCCTTCTGATTTGCATGCCCCCAACTTGCCAGCACTCTCAGCCTCCATTTTCTGTGTTGTGTTGTGAATTTTCTCTTTTATTCAGCCCCAATTTGTGGTTGTAGTAGGAAGTTGAGAGTGGGTGAACTAGTGCCTGTCAACCAGATGACATTCTAAACCAAATTTAGGTCTCAGTCATCTTGAGCTGTGTGCCTTAATCTTCGTGATTTAGCTCTGAACTCTAAGCTCTGTGGCCACCTCAATGGTCTTGCTGATAGGCCATTAATTAGCCTTTCTTCTTGACTTCGTCTTATGCTGCCCCCACTCTACCCCTTGTCTTTCAACCTCATTGTTTTTCCTAAACTGCTTGTGATAGGCTTGAATTTAACCCAGTACTTCCTGTAGTAAAAGAGGTCAGGTACAGAATGCAGAGCCTTGAAATAGTTACTGATTTTCAAAGGAGTTCAAGGCCTATTCCTAGAAACAAACATTTGGTCCTGGTACACCAAAATTTCCAGATAGTTCCACTTTATTATAAATAAGTATTTAATTTGTTCTAAAAGATATAGATATTTGTGATATTATTTGAATAATAAATTGCATCTATAGTAGTGGAAAAAATATGTACCTATCACAGAGTAGGCACCCAATAAATATATGTTAAGTGAATGGTGTGAAAGAAAGAGTGAAAACGTGTGTATGTTAGGGCAGAGGGGAGCTTTTTATTAATACGAATGCATAAGAATTTGTCCAAAATCAGAGAGAATTTCTTCAAACTTGTTTGTTCTTTACCAGTCAAAAATTAGAAGGTAGGAGAATCCCTTTCTAAATATCCTTGCAGTGCAACTTTCTGCACAGGAGAAAAAAAATCACTCTTAACAACACTTCCAATTTATTAGACCGTCACCATTTAGAGGGAAAGGGAACCCTCAAAACTTCAGTTCAACCGAAGCACAGCTGATTGTTTTATTTTGCCAAGTTGGCTGAAAACCATCAGTTTACCAGGCTTTATGAAGTATACAGGTAGAACAAATCGTTCAATTATGACTCCTTTGCAAAAACCTGAAATGGTTCCTGTTCAATTTCTGGATCATAATTTCACATGAACTGGTGCTAGTACCATTCTGGGTAATGTTTGTGGGGGAGGGGGGAAAGGGGAACATAGGCACAGGGTGGAAAGCCAAACATGAAAGCAAGCATAATTTAATTTGGACAACAGCCAAACTCTGATTTGCCCCTAATAGATTATTCATAGATTTATCTTAGAAAACTGAAAGACTTTGGGATAGAAACAATATGAAATGGACAAAAATCCATGTCTCATTCACACTGTCAGACAATGGTTTGGGAAGGAAAGTGGCCTAAGTGTCTCCCAGACAGGGACAGTTCTGGTTACTAGTGAGGGAGATATAATGTCTGTGTGGATTAGAACACTTTCTAAAAGCATTTTAAAATTAAACATTTTATTTTGACATAACTCTAGATTCGCTTGCAATTGTAAGAGAGGATACAAAGAGATTATGTATGCCCTTTACCCAGTTTCCCACAATGGTAACATCTTGTAAAACTCCAGTACAGCATCAGAACCATAAAGGCATTTTCCCTTTCTGACTGTGAGAACTTTCCTATATCCACCTATAAAACCCTGTATCTTATACCTTATCACAATATGGAAGAAATTCCTGGGGAACTGCTACATTGGTGGGGATTTTCCACTTCAAAAGCTTGAAATATATATCAGTCCTCCAAGTCAGTAAATCAACATGGAACAGAACAAAACAATGCATAGCTAACCTGAAACTAATACAAAATAATATTGAAAGTAAACTGTAATTGATAATTTTTTAAATTAAAAATGATTTTTAAAAGTGTAGCCATATGGTCATTTCTGCCTAACTAGTTTTCTTAATTTATTTTTATTGAGGTAATATTGTTAAATAATATTATATAGGTTTCAGATGTGCAACATTATAATTTGATACCTGTATGCATTATAGTATGCTCACACCAAAAGTCTAGTTTCCATCCCTTACCATATATTTGACCACCTTTACTCATTTTTCCCTCCTTCCAACCCACTTCCCCTCTGGTAACCAACATTCTGTTGTGTGTATGAGGTTTTTTTGTTTGTTACTGTTTTGTTTTATATTCCACATATGAATGAAGTTATTTGATCTTTGCTTTGACCTGCTCTCTCAAGCAGCCTACTCATAGTTGGTTTTTAAGATAAGCACCTTTTTCACTTACAGCTCCAAGGCATTAATGCCTTTTTCTCCTTTGCTTTAAGTTACAATATCAGAATAATACCTCCTGGTAAGTCTCTCTCATTTGTTTAGGGTAACAACTCTAAAAGAACCATTACTCCTAAATCAAAATCACACATCACCACCCCCACTCCCCACCTAAAACAGAGGATCCTTTATGTCAGTGATTCTCAACCTTGGCTTTAAATTAGAGTCTCCCAGGGGGGATATAAAAGTCCTGATGCACAGATCTTACCCCTGACCAATTCCATCAACTCCCTGAGGGTGGGACTCAGGCAGCAGTATTTTTACAGGTGATTCTGTGTGCAGCCAAAGTGGAAACCAGTGACATGTGTTTGTGAACACTGTAGCAGACTTCTATATTGAAAAGAACTTTTCTTCAGAGCAGCTTTTACCCAAATATTTGTGGACCACCGAGCTTGACCAGACACTATCTCTCTTACCTTCTCCTCTTCTTCCTCTTTCCCCTCTTGTATTTCTTCCTCTCTCCTTCCTTTCACTCCCAGCTACTCACTTCCATTCATTTCTTCCAGCTACAAAACCTCAACCTTCATTGTCACCCTGAATAAAATCCCTCCTCTTAGTTTCTCTGTCTGTAAAATGAAAGACTTAACATAAGATGAGGTTCTGGGGGGCTGACTGGTCTCTGAACAAAATCCCTGAGTGTTTTGACTTTTGTTTTGTCTCGGATCATTTTCCCATATCCTATGACCCTTATCATTTGCCTAGGATCTGAGCCCCTGTTACCAAAGAATAGCTTTTCATCTTGTGCTCACCCTCATGAATCGGAGAACTTCCTGTGTTTGCAGCTTATGCTGGGTCAGTGACCTCTCTCAAATTCTAGTCCTTTCAAACTCCCTCCTTTTAGCATCGGTAGGACACACACAACCCAAATGGACCTTTTGGTGTTCCTTTGGCAAAATGATACCAAACTCCAAAAAGGACAGAACAATCTGTAACGGTCTTTGTGAAATGTGGGTGATTATGGTAGAAAAAAACATATAAGCTATCGTGGGTATGAAAAATATTTGCACTTGGAATCCCATCTGTGTGTATGATAATAAATGGATGCCAATTCTTACTTTTGTGTATTTTTATAGCTTTGCACCAGGGTGGGCTCTTCTTAGATAAGGGAATAATGTTCTCTTTCTCTTACTCCAACTCCCATCAGCTCCCCCTCTTCTCACATCAGAGTCCACCCGAAGAGAGTAATAATAATCCCCAAAGTTAAATTTGCAATATGCGTGCCTATAGAATCTAAGTGTATTAAATATTTTATGGGATGTTGGGGTTACCAGACCCCATAACTATCTTCTTAATCTTCCCTGCCATTTTTATCACTGAATATAAGGATCTTGCTTTTTAATTGCCTGCAAATAATTTTTATTTTTATTTTTTATTTTTTTATTTTTTAATTTAATTTTAATTTATTTTTTTAAATGCATTTGTCTCTGCCTCCCCCCCACCACTTTCCCTTGCCCCCTCCCTCCTTCCCTCCCTCAATCCTTCCCCACTTTGGCTTTGTCCATGAGTCCTTGCTATATGTTGCTTGACTTGCTCCTTCCCTTCCTTTTCCCCCACCCACCCCTCCCTCCTGCAAATAATTTTTAAATGGGTCTCCCCTCCTTTACCCCTAACAATTTTCTCTAAAACACAATTTTACTTGACTTTAAGCCTTAAGTTCTATTCTTCATTCATTCTGTCCTCTCCTCACTTCACCTCAGCTCCAGGGACAGGGGTCAGTAGTAGAATAGTGGGTTCATCATGTGCCTTTACCCCTTGCTGAAAGAACAATGACTGGATTATTTGTGATGCCAGACTCTACACTTTAATTAGGGACCACAGATTTCATTCATTCAGCAAGTTTTTTCTAAGCACCTTCTAGATGCTAGACACTATTTTAGGCACAGAAGATATAGCAATGAACAAAACAAAGTTCTCCCCTCTGCTGAGCTGAATTCTAGTACTGGCACTCAATGTCAGTTCTTTTATCTATGAAATGTTTATAGTCTCTGTGCCTTGATCTATGATCTCATGCCATTACCTATGTTAAGTCTCAATACATTTATTTGGACTGTACTTGACTCCATATCTTCCTCCTCTCCAGTTCACCCAATGCATTCTCAGGGTTCAGTGCTTGGAATCAGTTTTGATTATCACTCTGCTTTAAAAACATCCCTCAAAGGCTTCCATACCCTCCCCTCTGTTGCATACCTAGGCCTCACCCCTTAGCCTGTCACTTAAAGTCCTTCCTGATCTGGTGCCAACCAACTTTTGGAATGTTATCCTTCAACTGTTATCTTTTATGGACTCTATATTCTGTGCTGCATCTTCTCAACTTGGAAACCTCTGCCTGGAATACTCCTCACCAAATCTTCCCCCAAAAAGTCTATCCACCCTTCATGGACCAGCTCACAAAGCCTCCTCAAAGAGAAGCTTTCTCTCTTGTCCTAACCTGAACAGTATTTGTATTTCTCCTGTGGCTTCTGTCACATCCTGCCTTGTGTTGCAGACTGCTACTTTAATTCTTTAAACTCAAATGTGAGAGGCTTGGGAGCAGAAAGGACACTTTACCCTTTTTGGTTATTTTATCCCTCAGAACTTTGTAGGTGAACTAGTTCCAGCCTTCTATAAAAGGAGAGAAAAATCTTGGCATGTTGCTAGCGATGCTTTACATCTCTCTTATTGGTGTGGGTGGATGTGCAGTTTAGATCAGATCTTGTCACTAAAAAAACATTAAATGCCTTCTAATGTATGTAAGGCCATTTCTGCCTTTTCACTGGTGGACTTGAGGGGACTGAAATTTGTCTTTGTCATTTTACAGAGACATTCTTACCACCGCTCTCACTATGATCCTCCACCAAGCCGACAGACTGGAGGTCTTCCCCGCTTTCCTGGGGCCAGAAGTCACCGGGGAGCTCTTATGGATTCCCAGCAAGCCTCAGGCACCATTGTGCAGATTGTCATCAACAACAAGCATAAGCATGGACAAGGTAATGGGCATGTTCCTTTTGTACCACATCAGGATTTCAGCAGTCCTGGTGTTTGGAGGGCTCAAGCTGGGAAAGGACCCTTTCTCTCAAGCATATGATACATTCACTTGTGGTTCACTCACTGTCAAGTCTACAAATCGAGTATGGACAAGTGACTCCATTCAACATTTAGGATTTCCCCAAATACAGCCCAAACAGCATTTAATATTTCAGGTGCATCTGTCCTTTTTTAGAACAAAAGGCAAGAAATGCACCTAATGCAGCCTCCAGCATTTTCTCAGTTGCCCCTACAGATTGAATTTTGTTTGGGAAAGTTCATTGGATTTTTAACAGAATGAGAGGTTGTTCATTTTCCAGTAGGGGACCCAGTATTCAAAGGCACTCAGTACCAAATGCTTTTGAAGCTCTTATCCATACCTTAGAAATAACAAGTTTCACACCTCAGTACACTCCAGAGTTTCCTGGGACTCTTGTAAAAGATACATTTCCCAGGCCCCAGGCTCAGAAATTCTACTTCATATGAGGAGATTGTCTTTAGCAATGAGTAATCCAGTAAGGAAAATCCAGAAACTTCCTGGCTCAGGACCAGGAGGTCTGATCAGGTTCACACCGACAGGCAGCCCACTTAGCCAGCCAGCTGGCTAGAGCAGGCATCCACACACAACCAAGGCCCATTCCTTCCTACACAGAGTTCTCCCACCTCCACACCCCCAGTAGCAGGGATGGGAGGAGGAGAAATTCAATCAAACAGTTGACTTATTTAGGCATTGTGTCAACCAGCTCTTCAGGGCAAGAGCTCAGCTGGTTCCTTTTTATGAAACCATAAACATGTTTTGTTTCCTTTAAAGGAAAAACAAATCAAAGGCAGTTCCCTAAATGGGTTAAAAGTAATAAATTATTAAATCAAATGATTGAATAACAGGGGTGAAAAACAATCTGTTACAAAGGACTCCTACTATAAATCTCAACAAAGCTAGTCAAGCCAAAGCTAGTTGATCACATCTGTTACTAGTTAGATATAAATTTCAGTTTACAGATAAAAAATTAAATTGCTTTTGAAACTAATAGGCTTAAAAAAAGAACCTTGAAAATAAAACTCTTAATTAAAAATGGTGATATATAAGAAGAATTAGAAATATTTACTATCAATCTGGGTTTGATTTTAAATCTATTAGTTTTAAGTTGCAAGGCATTCTGATATGAATTTATGAAATGATGATGAGGAGGAGTTAGGTAAAGATACAATTTGATTTCAATACTAAATTGCCTCCAATAAATTCCATTTGCTCTGAAAGTATTTCAAAGCCTTGAAAAATGTGTGGGGAAATGGACTTTGAAAATTCTAAATCCCACAATTCCTACAGGCCTCTTCATTTTCAGGGCAGAGGCTCATCTCTTGATTTTCTCTATGTCCTACAAAAGCCCCAGCTGGTTCACATTTATTCATTGCCCCCAATTGATTTGGTTGCAGCAGTTCTGTCCTGACCTTTCTACTATAGTTCCCTGGATAATCACTTGCCCCCACCCCAAACTCCCAATACCCCATATGGATGCATTCAAAATAATCTTGAGAATTTGTCAGTAGGGAGAATGCTGCATTTCCCTCTAGAGAATTAACCTCACACTATGAAACTTCAGAGTATAGGCTCTCATCCAGTCTAAATTGTTTCCTTAGCCCAAACATTTAGGAGAGAGGGATACTTGCTATATAACACTGGGAGTCCTGCCTGAGGTTTTTTGGGGGTTTTTTTTGTTTTGTTTTGTTTTTTTGTTTTTTGCTTTTTTTAGCTCTCCTGCTAACTGTGTGCTCCTCTCAGATACAATGTACTTTGTCCCTTGGTAGCTTCAAAGAGGAGAAGCAACAGGACTCTACTATTTTGAACTTGAGTCCAGTCTAAATTTTCTTGAAGCAGACAATGTACCCACTTGATTGTATTGTCTAGAAGGGAGTGTCACTGTCTGGGGAAGAGGGAAAAGAGGTCAGGACAGGAGAGAACAACACATTTTGCCTGTCTTGTCATGTGATTCCATCCACAGTCCTGAGCCTCACAGTTTAGATATCAAGTCCCTATTCTATCTTACTGTAAGGTTAGGAATTTCTCTGATTTAGATTCTTAGGTACTTGGAAATCTTTACACGGATTGACCTATTAGAGTGCCTAGTACTCTCGCAGCTCTTGCAAAGGACAGGAAAAGGCAGCCAACACATCCATATTTCCAAATGTGACCCAGTGGACTTGATGAGAAAGAAATAGCCCAATGATTCATCCTTCTGAGGCTGCTCTCTTGCAGCCAAATCAGTTAATTTCTAGAAACGCCCCAAGTGGGGCTATTTCTCCCACCCTAGCCCCACCTCAAGTGATACAACCCACCCTGGAGATGTTGTTGATTGGGATGCCGACAGGTCTCCCTGGGTATGATGAGGTGATGGTAAGTATGAGAAACACACCCAGGCCCAGTCATGGCTTGAAATCTCTACTATGTCTCAGCACTTTCAAAGTGGGAGACAACTCATTCTCAGACCTCCCCATTCACAGCCCTATGCAGTTCTCATTCTGGATCCTAGCTCCATGCCTTACAGTAGGAGCTGGATATGTTTAGGCTGGATTGCATTAAACGATGTTCCTGTGGCCCCTTTCCTTCGTAGGCCCCTCAGCCTTCAGCCCAGATGCTTGCTCTTGCAAGGCTCCTCAGAAAACATGGAGCCAGTGGCTTCAGTTCCCATTCAACAAATGTGAAGCCACCAAAAGATATCTTTAGGACAGGCAGTGATTCACTCCAGCCAAATCTCTACAGCCACTATAAGTGGAGGACAGACAATGCTGCCTAAAAATTAGACAAAAAAAAGACTACCTTTCACCACTTACCTGGGAGGTGTAGGTCCTTTCTCTCTGAATCTTGTCTTAGCACCTTTCTTCCCAGGCCAGCACCATTAGGCTCCATACCCATCTGTGTTGGTGGATTAGCCTTTCAAAGCATTTGATATTCTAAATGGATTTGCTTCAGGATCTGGAAAAAACAAATGGTCCTTTAGGAAGAGCAGTAGTTTTTGTATCTAGCCTCTCTGGGTTGTAAATCGTTCTGGGGAATTTTCATGCCAAGAAGCACATCCACTTGGTCCATATCCTCTATGAACTATAGCTATCACAACTACATTCTACTAGAGCTTCCTTATCATATACCCAGGACAAGTACAACTTTGCTTTCATGCTTTCATTCATTCCTGCACTTTAAAAAATATTTATTTATTGACTACCAGGCACTTGTGAGCATCCAGAGGCTACTGCTGAAGAACCTGAATAGTTGTCAACGGTAGAAAAGGCCCAAGCTGTATTTTTAGTTAGAAGAGGCATGACCCATGGACATGAACAATGGCAGGGGGATTGCCTGAGGGAGTGGGGAGTGCTGGGTGGAGGAGAGCAAAGGAGGAAAATCAGGACAACTGTAATAACATAATCAATAAAATATAATTAAAAAAATAAAATTCCCACTTGCTCACGCCCCCCAAAGAAAAGTAGAGGCTGCCATATAAATGTATCTCTATTGCCATGTAAAGAACAAAGGATGCCTGATGTCTTAAGGAGTTCACGGCTTGGGTTCTGAGCACAGGAGCCCATTTTAGCTCCCTAGCCTTTATTTTCCAGTATTGTGTTCTCTTTCAGTTTGTGTTTCCAATGGAAAGACCTATTCTCATGGCGAATCCTGGCACCCTAACCTCCGGGCATTTGGCATTGTGGAATGTGTGCTGTGTACTTGTAATGTCACCAAACAAGAGTGTAAGAAAATTCACTGCCCCAACCGATACCCATGCAAGTACCCTCAAAAAATAGATGGAAAATGCTGCAAAGTGTGTCCAGGTAAAAAGGCAAAAGGTGCGTTGGTTCTAAGCCCTGCCTTTGGTTGACCGAGATCCCCACATAGTCATTCTCAATGTCCTGTGAGCATCAGAAATATAATCAATCTGCCATATCACTGTAATGTTAACAGTTTTACTAATAATGAAGTTCATTCTCTCCTCTCTTGAAGGACTGGTAACATGGTTGCTTGGAAGAAATGGACTACTAAGAATTATACTGGGGATTTGGTTCTGTCAACCATGACTTTGACTCCATGTAGCCCTAAATGCCAAACTTAAGCCTTGGTTTTCTAAATAGCAAAGAATGCCAAAGGGCTCCCCTTTCTCCACATCCCCGCCAGCACATATTGTTTGATTTATTGATGATAGCCATTCTGACAGGAGTGAGGTGATATCTCATTTTGGTTTTAATTTGCATTTCTCTGATGATTAGTGATGTTGATCATCTTTTCATATGTCTATTGGCCATCTGTATGTCCTCTTTGGAGAAGTGTATTTGGGTCCTTGGCTCATTTTTAAAATTGGATTGTTTGTTTATTTGTTTGTTTGTTTTGGTGTTGAGTTTTATGAGTTCTTTATAGATTTTGGATATGAACCCATTATCAGATGGGATATTTACACACCCACAATGGAATATTACTTGGCCATAAAAAAGGAGAAAATTTTACCCTTTGCGACAGCATGGATGGTCCTGGAAAATATTATGCTAAGTGAAAGAAGCCAGTCAGAGAAAGACAAATATGATTTCATCCATATGTGGAATATAATGAACAAATTGAACTAACAAGCAAAATAGAGACAAACTCAGAGATGAAGAGCAAGATGACACCTGGAGAGGAGTGTTGGGGAGGAGAGATTTAGCAAAAAGGAAAAAGGATTCATGGACATGGACAACCATGTGGTGATTGCTGGAGAGGATGGGGATATAAGGGGGACTAAATGGTGATGGAGAAAATACAATACAAATAAATTTAAAAAATAAATAGCAGACAAATTAGGTTATGATGATGATTAGGAAGAACAGTAGTAGCTTTCATTTATATTACTGTTTAACTCATCAAAGCACAATCACATCCATTGCCTTTTTGACATAGGATGAGAGACAGGTGAGGTATAGTGAGAGAGTGGGTTCTGGTCCTAATCTAAGTGGCTGTGCAACCTTTGAAATGTGCCAAATCTGCTCTGGGCCTAATCAGCCTCATCTGTACAATGAAAAGTTTAGAACAGTTGACCTCCATATCCCCTTCCATGACCAAAATCCTATCATGACATTATTATTTCTCTTAAAGATACGAAAACTGGGGTATATAAGTAGTGACTTGCCCAGAGTCACAGAAATAGATAATAAAACTAAGGTCTAGAAGTCAGGTCACTTACAGTCCATTGTCTTTTCCAGGCTAGTAGAAAATATAAACTGATAACAAATGATTAATTCTTTAAATAGTGGCTTTAATACATGGGCTAGATGAAAATATAGTATCTAGTATTGGGGTTGACAGAGTATGGGATTGGTAATCAAGTATTCTAGCCTTGACTCTGCTACCGGTTTCCTGTATGACCTAGAACAATTCACTCCACCTCTCTGAGCCTCAGTTTTCTTCTCTGCAAAATGAGAGGGTTAGAATTGATTATTTCTTAGGGTCCATCTAGCGTCAACATTTTAAGAATTAATTAATTAATTACTTCCAAGGACAAGAATTTATCATTTCTTATGCCTATATCTAAAGCATTTTTATAAACGTAGTTGAAAAAACAAACATTTTGAAATGTAGGCAGAGAGCTAAATTATTTATTACTTCAATTTAGGACATTCCTCATGAGTAGCAGGCAACCATAACGTTATTCAATGTATATATTTTCTTTTTTTAAGAAAAAAATTGCCCTGGCTAGTGTGGCTCAGTGGATTGAGCACTGTCCTGTGACCCAAAAGGTCACAGTTGGGGCACATGCCTGGGTTGCAGCCCAGGTTCCCAGTTGGGGGTGCTCAGGAGGCAACCACACATTGATATTTCTTTCCCTCTCTACCTCTCTTCCCTTCTCTCTAAAAGTAAATAAATAAAATCTTTTTTAAAGAAAAATCTTTATTTTTAGAGAGAGGGGAAGGGAGGGAGAGAAACATTGATATGAGAAAGAAACATTGATTGGTTGCCTCTCCTATGCACCCAACTGGGGACCGAACCAGCAACTCAGGCATGTGCCCTGACTGGGAATTGAACCAGTGACCCTTGGCCTTGCAGGATGATGCCTAACCAACTGAGCTGCAGCGGTCAGGGCTCAATATATATTTTTTAAGCCTCTTCATGTAGGACAGTGGTTCTCAAATTTGTCTGCACATTGGTATCCCACTGAGAACTTCTAAAAATATCTGTGACCCATCCTTTAGAGGTCATGATTTAATAGGCATGAGGTGTGGCCTGCGCTTTGGAATTTTTAAAACGATCCCCAGGTGATACTAATTTTCAAACAAGTTCAGGAACCCCTGATGTAGGTAGGTGCAGGGTGGTTTATGGCCTTGCTACTCAAAGTGTGATTTGTGGACCAGCAACACCTCGAAGGTAATTAGAAATTCAGACTCTGAGGTTCCACCCCAGACCTACTGCATCAGAATCTGCAGTTACAAGACTCCTCAGTTGAATTCATTGAACATTAAAGTTTGAAAAACATTTATTAATGGCACAAACACAATCTTTCTTAATATAATGACCCTTATCTTCGAGAGTAAACAGTGACAGGGTGTGGATAAGAAGGACAGGAGCTATCTGATCTGGAGTAGAGAATTGGGCCATTAAAATTGGTGAGGAAATGTACTCATTAAGAGTAGGGAGAGAGTACATTCTGATATTGATATGGACACAGGGGCCAACCAGCCACAAAGGCCTATTATGACTTCCAAGTCTGTGATCTCACTGGATCCTCAAACCTTTTAGTGTCAGGAGTAGTTCCACAAATACAATTTTCTCTTTGGTCAAGGATCTAATGCCTATAGTCAGTCATATAAGTAATACAACAGGATAATTTCAGAGTAAACTAATAGCTACCTAAACTACCCCAAAACCAAATCCCATTTCATTGTGTGCTTAGGGTTTTGATTCAGGTGACTTAAATAAGTTAATGAGCTAAAAAAAGTGTGAGAACAGGACACAGAACGGGCATTGCCTTTTAAACAATTGACCTCTCAGATCGATAATATTTATTAAAAACTTTACTTTCCATACTATTTGGCTGAGAAATTTAACTCCTAAGAATCTTAAAAAATTAATGAGACATACACAGATATACAAATAATGATTTTTGCTGCAAAGCTGTTTACAATAGTGAAAAATTGTAAACAATTTGAAAGTCTACCAGTATGGGGCTAGTTAAATAAATTGTTATATCTATACTGTGTCATGGTAAACAGCCATTAAGAATCATTGTAGATCAAGCCCTGGCTGGTGTGGCTCAGTGGATTGTGTGCCAGCCTGTGAACCAAAAGGTTGCCAGTTAATTTCCTTGTCAGGACACATGCCTCGGTTGCAGGCCAGGTCCCTAGTAGGGGGTGCACTAGAGGCAACCACACATTGATGTTTCTCTCTCTCACCCTCCTTTCCCCTCCCTGTAATAATAAACAAATAAAATATTTTTAAAAAATTATTGTAGATCAAGATTTATTGGCACAGAAAGATGTTTGCAATATATTTGCTAAGTGCAAAGAGCAAGCTACAAAACAATATGGATAATATGATCCCACTTTGTGTGTTCAAAAAGAAAATGTTAATAATACACTTAGACCAAAAAAAAAAAAAACCCAAAAGACCAGAAGGGTATATGGAGAGTGTTAACAGTGGCTATATTTAGGTGATTAAATTATGGGTAATTTTATTTTCTTATTTTTGTTTATCTGTATTTTCAACATTTTCTATGTATATTACTTTTGTAGTTAGAAAAATAATAAAATATATTATTTTAATAACTGTTCTTCAAAATTCCAATTGACAATATTTTGAAGAGTCTGATTGATGAAACCTGTTTTTCTGAAAAAGCTGCTTTCTTACTCAAGTGTGTGGAGATAGAGCAATATGGAAAGAGAGAATATCTGTTCCTTTCTGTGTAACTTTCTCTCAGTGAACCAGACATTGGTGTCTGCATATTAAATGACTCCTGATAGTCAAATTGCCTAACAATAGTCATTACCCAGAGGCCAGGGCACCAGCTGCAGGTGCTCAGCAACTTCAGCACATCAAGGCGCCTGAACTTGTTCATGTATTCAATCTGGAAATACATATTTTGGATCTAGTGTGTATAAGACACTGTTACAGGCACTGAGAATACAGAGATGAACAAGACAGACAAAGGCTATTTATGGGTATATTCCTTACATTCTAGTGGGAGAAAAAAGACAATGAACACAAACCAATAAGGTAATTTTAGGCTTTGATGAGTACTGTGAGGGAAAAATAAATACAATCAGGTGGTTGTGAATGGGGAGAGAGTGGCACTTTCAAAAGTGATATTGAGTAGAGTCCTGACTGATGTGAAGGAGTAAGAAATGGGAAGATCATGGCATCACCAGCTTCTTAGAAAATAACACATGACAGAGGAAAAGGAACAAGGGACTGAGGGGGGGAAATGATTGATGGGGAAAAAAAGAACAGTAAATTCAGTTATTCATGCTGAGAAGGGAAAAGAGACAAAATTTGTGCATGATACAGCCAAATGTTTCATTATAACAAATGATTCCAGGTTTCTTCAGTAACATACTAGGGCCAGAATAAAGGGTGTGAGTTTCACCTTTCTCTCTTGCCTTTGCGCTGGTAGAGGCTGCCTTGCCTAGCGTATAAGTGGCCACCTACAGAGTTGCATAGGATTTCTACTTCCTAAAGGTTGCCCAAATTCCCTCTCATCCCACTGTACCACTCTGATATCAGGAATTCCCATAATTATACCTCCTTTGGGATTACAGCATAAAAAAACCTGTTAAGACGTAAAAGTTTCCTGGGATGGGCTAAAACACCTTCATCCATCATCACCACTTCCATAAGGAAGTGGTTTCTTAATTTCATAGTTCCAGAGGGCTCAGGACCAGGAGCATTCCCACTGGGAAGTGGAAATAGCCAGAAATGACTTCAAGCATGGCATGCTTCCCTGAAACGAAATGAAAGTAAGTGAACTTGGAGTGATCAGAAAGCACCCTGAGGTGGAGGTGTAATGAGGAAGATATCAAAGTAACTAGTTTGAGAGACACACTGTGTACACTTAACATTTTCAAGGGCCAGCCAGTGTTGAATCACTAATGGATTTTGTTGTTTGTAAATCTCTTCTGGTGAGTGAATTAAGCTCTTGGAGGGGAAGGGGTTTTGGTATAGATGACTCTTCTGGACACTGGGAGAATTTTTACCATATTGTAGGTACTTCCACTGCTTCATAGATTTATGGCAGTTAATAGCCATAGCCAGTATTAAGCTGGGGAGCAAAATTTAACAATTGAACCCAGCTCTCATTCTAAAGGTGATAATTGTACACGTAGGAGTCCCCATACACTTAGTGATCTCCTTCCCCTTCACCCATTTGAAAATGCTAGCACACCCCGTAAATACCTAATATATCACCTTTTTAAAATGACCTACCAAGAAATCGGATAACTAAAAAGAAGGTCTAAAGAAGAAAGGAATCTTGATGTAGGATAATCTACAAACTGAGTAATACAACCTGGAATCATCGAGAGAAGGTTTGGTTTTGTCCCTACTGTGCCAGTATGGTGGTGGGAGTGGGAAAGATAACCAGGTCAGCAAGAGACATGCAATAGCAATTTGATTACAACCTCTAGTCCAAATGTGTCTCAATGGCTACCAGAGGTCTTCCTAATTAAAGTCACAGATCCAAAGCACTCAACATTCAAAGCTTTTGTCAGTTTTACAGATGGTTTCTACATTTATCCAAAGTTTCCAGAGTGTCCATGGCTTCTCTTTGTTGTTCTGGGTTTGAGTGTACATTTTTTTTCTTTTTTTTTAATTTAATTTTAATTTATTTTTTCAAATATATTTGTCTCTGCCTACCCCCCACCACTTTCCCTTGCCCCCTCCCGCCTTCCCTCTCTCAGCTCTTCCCCTTTGGTTTTGTCCATGAGTCCTTGCTATATGTTCCTTAACTTTCCCCTTCCCTTCCTTTTCCCTCCCCCCCCCTCCCTCCTTCCCTCTTGTCTCTGTTGATTTCTTTTCCTTTCAGTGTTGCTGGTTTTATTTTCCTTGCATCTTTGTATTGTTGGTTAGGTTCCACTTATAGGTGAGATCATATGGTATTTGTCTTTCGCCCCCTGGCTTATTTCACTTAGCATAATGCTCTCCAGTTCCATCCATGCTGTCGCGAAGGTTAGTAGTTCTTTTTTTCTTTCTGCTGCGTAGTATTCCATTGTGTATATGTACCATCATTTTTTGATCCAATCATCTACTGATGGGCATTGAGGTTGCTTCCAACACTTGACTATTGTAAATTGGGCTGCTATGAACATTGGGGTGCATAGGTTCTTTAGTATTGATGTTTTGGTATTCTTAGGGTTTAGTCCCAGCAGGGGAATCACTGAGTGTACATTTTAAATACACCACTGAGGAGGGTGCTGAAAGGCCAGCAAAATAACTCACAAATAACCAAACAAAAGAAACTTTTCTTGACAGGGGGCTGAGGGATGAGGAAGGTGGAGTGGAATGATATCAGGAGGTGGTACCTTTATGACTGGAAGCTGAAATCCAAGTTTAGTTTATATTTTAAATGATCCATAGTTAAGAGAGTTGACCAACTTTTTTGTGTCTCCCAACCTTTCATTTGGCATGGCATGCATATGACTAACCTGAAATCTAGTTTTTGGCACTGGTATTGATTTGGTACTATCATTACTCTTACAAACAAATCAAAGAGCATTCAGAAATGTCAAGCCAATTTGGGTAGATTATTTGGGCAAGTAAATACACATAAATGAATGGCATAGATGTTTTCTAAGTATAATTGATGTCAGCAAAGTTAACCAAGGCCCTCTTTCAGACCATTCCCTGGGTCTCTATTGGTAACACTGAGCTAGGCAGACCATGATCCTGACCCAGCATGGAAAATCTTATGTTCCCTTAATTGCCTAAGAGATTTGTACCTAGCCACATTCATCCTCCTCATAAAGGTCCACTTCTTATGCGGTGGTTAGTGGATCCACTTTAGTTTGTGGGCCACTGTTTTGCAGAGCTATGGATTCTGTAATCATGTGGACTTAAAGTTCATGTGCTCCTTTGTGATTTGGTGGCTGTTATAGGAGCAGCCTCACTGATGCAGTGAAATATGGGCATAACTTCTCTGTAAGAATATTTGTGTTGGTTGTGCACTTTTTATGAATATGTGGTGTTCATCCACATATGAACTAAGATACATAAATGCAGAAGTTTGCTTCTAATTTTGGGAAAAAGTGACAAAACTCTACCTTCTTCCTCATTCTAGAAGAACTTCCAGGCCAAAGCTTTGACAGCAAAGGCTACTTTTGCGGAGAAGAAACAATGCCCGTGTATGAGTCTGTGTTCATGGAGGATGGGGAGACTACCCGAAAAATAGCACTGGAGACAGAGAGACCATCTCAGGTCGAGGTCCATGTTTGGACCATTAGAAAGGGTGAGCAAAACAATATTAATTTTTGTTTTGTTTGTTTGTTTGTTTTTTGTAAAGGGGACACAGGGAAGGAGGGGAGGACTCACCTTAATTTTGCTTCAACCTGTTTCTCTGTTTGAGTCAGAAGATGTCCTGATTGCTTAGAAATTAACATATGACTAATACTGTTGTTATTGTGGCGTTTAACTTTAACCTTAGCTTGGGCTAAAAAGTAAGTGTTGACCCTTGGGGTTTATTGTCTGTCTTACACAATCAAGGCTAGAGGAGTGGTTCTCAACCCTGGCTGCACATCAGAATCATCTGAGAATAGTTTCGTTTTTTTTTTAATACCAAATGCCTGGGCCTACCCCAAGAGATTCTGACTAATTGGTCAGGAGTGGGGCCTGGGCATAAGTATTTTTTAAAGCTCCACAAGTGATTCTGGTTTGTTGCCAGGATTGCAGACCATCAAACTATAGTTTACCATTCTTTTTAACAGAAATCTCCACAAACATGAAAATCCATTCATTCGGTAGGAAGCAAAGTCTCTTGAATCATGCTATGTACTCTGGGGTAGGACAAACTTAGAACATCATCCTTGCTCTCAAGATTATAGCCTTACTGTAGGAACAATCTCAGTCATGCTGTCCAACTCCTTTTTTGATTATTGACATTACTATAGCAAGCCACATTTTGCTTACTATAATCCTACAACTATTCAAACCATTCCATATATAAAATATGAGTGCTGATCTAGTCTGGTCAAGTTTTCTAGGAATCCAAGTATAGAGGTGAGATCAATTGGAATATCATGCACAGATTTTCTTTTACTGGCACCTGCATAAGGCTTCAGAGTTCTCAAACTTTAGTATATTTAAGCATCATGCAAGGAGGTGGATAAAAATGCAGCTCCCTGGCCCCATCCATGAAATGTGACTTCAGCAGCCTTGCATAGATTCTAAACTTTTGAATTTTTAATCAATAGCCAGGGAATTTTAATGCACATAGAACTTGGACCATACTTGGAAAAATAACTGCTCTAGTATTTGTGAGGCTTTTTCTCTTCCTTTGCATAACGACCTTTCTTTCTTGAAAGAACTCCTCCCTAGCCCTTAAAAATATACTAGAACACACATGTTTCTTGTCCACGTTTATTTTTGCTCTATGCCTAGGAATGTTGATTTTCAGTCTCTAGCTCCCTAGCTCCTCTGTAACTGGCCACCTAGGACTAAGCACTGTTCTTTTGGCTTCCCTAGTAGTAGGCCCACTATTCATCATGCTGCATCTCACACCCCACAGAGTTGTATGGATGTTTTTCAACTTGCTTGTGTAACATCTAAATAACCTTGTTCATAGTGCTGAGTAATCAAGGTTTGTGCATGGTAGGCAGAGAAAAACCCAGGCTTCATTTACGTTGCTCCTTGTACACCTCTTGAGGATTAGTAAAGTGGGCTGATAGCATGGTGCTCCTTAACTTCAAGGCCATTTTCAGCTGTTTATATGTTATTTTGATAAAAGCTATTCAGGTAACATTGAGACTATGGATCCCCCTTATTTTAATTAAAGGGGGTGTGCGTATTCCTCAAAGGAAAATATGCTTTTTGGTGAGTTCAAGAGCAGGAATGGCTTCTCCATTTACACAACCTGTTTGCAATCCCACTGCTGGCTCTCACTGCTTAGCCAAGAGGACAGCCCAGTGGTTTGGCAGGGACATTGTCTACCCAGACTTGGGGCAACAGCAGAATTTCTAATACTGCCTCTGGCTGCAGAATCTCCAACCAGCACCCATGTTTTGATTCCATGTGGCATTCCATAGGAGGGGGTTCCATGGCCAGCATCGCTATTTCCCTTTATCTCCATCCTCTGAAGAACCAGGGGGAGGGCCAGTGAGCCAAGAAAACAAATGGAGTTAATTATAGAACTTGAGCCATCCAAGTTCCTCGTTAAGCACATTATACAGCCCAGCTCAATACTCCTAAGCCCCAGTAATGAGATGATATGCTCAGCTCAAGCAGAAAAAGGGGCTGTTAGTTCCAGATAGAGAGAACTTGACCACCTGCCCCACTTTTTTCTTGGCCCAGGCATCCTACAGCATTTCCATATTGAGAAGATCTCCAAGAGGATGTTCGAGGAGCTCCATCACTTCAAACTTGTGACCAGGACAACCCTGAGTAAGTGGTACCTCTCTTTCTTCACTCTGGAAAATGCATTGAGTTTTCAATGGAGCATAGCCCCAAATAAAGCCCCTCTGTGTTCTCAAGGAACATTAGCAATGTTCAATATCAACATTATAGGATGTTCTATCTCTCCTCTGGTGACTTAGCAGGGAAAGGAGTGTCTGGATGTGAATTGAAAATCCTGGACTTGGTAAATACAAATCCAGATGTAGTTGAGCATAGCTGCCTCATATCATCGTTTCCTAAATATCTTTAATGAAATTGCTAAACCCAGAGTCTCAAGATGGTTAGAGAAAGCTGGTATATTTATGGAGACTTCACATCTAGAAGGATATGTCCTCTGGTGGTGGGGATGAGAGACAGGGAAAATGAATGCATATCAATTCCTGAATTGTATCAAAGCTCTGTTTGGCTCTTTGGTACTGCCCCTGGGTGGTCATGTTTCTTTAAGAGCATTTAGGCACTCAAGTATACTTGTAGCCGTCCCACTTTCTACACTAGATGGAGCTTAGGGACTAGATACTGCTAGGCACTGGGGGGTGCAAAGCACTTGTGAAGGAATAAAAGACAGAATATCTATCCACAGGGAATTCTAATGGGCAAGACAGAACATGAAAATGCCTTCACTATGAATTAGTATACTTTTGAGGAGTTAAATACCTAAGTGCTCAGGGGAATCTGCAAAGAGCAATGAGATGAGAGCCAGGTGGACTTAGTTGGGGAAGGTTTTGGGAGAAGGTATGATTTGAAAGAGAAGGGTGTGACTGGGCAACAGGTCAAGGAATAAGTCCAGGAATAGAGTGCAGCTGAAGAGAAGACTCAGACAGGAGCAAACAAGAAGTGTGGATGTGAATGTAGCTGTGGGTGGATGGGTATGGGTAAGGAACAATTACAACGACCACATAGGGTACACAGAAAGATGAGAAGAATTGGAGGTAGGAAGTAGTCAGAAGGCCTGAAAGAAGCCAGTGAGAAGTTCACATATAAGGCAAGTAGCATTTGGTAGTTGCTCTAAACTTACAGTGTAATGATATCAAAATAGTGTTGTGGAAGGATATCTCTTGGCTGTCAGATGGATTAATTAAACATCTAGTTCGATAAGGCCAGATATGTAGAGCCCAATATGCCATGCTAACAAGTTGGACTTGCTCTCCAGACCCCATTGAAGTCTTTTAAGAAAAAAAAAAAAAGGATGCATTCAGATATGTTTTACAGAAAGATGCACTTGTTGTGTGGAGAGTTGGACTGTTAGTGAAAGAGCTAGTAATAGTCTGAAATAGGACATGATTATACTATATTAAGTCTTTTAGGCAGGAGAGCAGAGGTCACTGTGAATGATATATCTAAAGTTAAATTATCAAGAACGGTATCAAAGAGAGAAATAAGTTTGGAATGACTCCAATATTAACAACTTTATAGACTAGGGGAATTAGCAATACCATTCACCAAAGGGAAAAACTGAAGAATAAGCAGGCATTGGTGAAAAAAATGAGTTTCACTTAGAACATATTTAGCCTAAGATGCTTAAGAGCTATCTGAGCAGAGGTATCCAAGAAGCCTCTGGAAATAGGATTGGTGAAATCAGTCGTTTGTTTTTCAGGAGACTGATAGACAATAAACTGGGATATAGGAGAATTCAAATGGAGAAGTTGGGAGTCCTTACATATGAATAATGAATAAAGGACACAGAGTCTAGGATTCAGATCAATTATGTGACTTTTGAAATTACCAATTAACTGTATTTTGCTGTGTATAATGTGTATCTGTGTTTTTGGCCCGAACTTTCAGGAAAAAAAAAAATCTTTCATTTTAATTTTTTAATTCAATAGCTTATTTATTGATACTTAGAAACAAAACCAATTATCTAATTCCAGGGTGTTATTTTGCATATGGATATTAGTACTGCATTCTAGAGTTACACTTTTATCACATAATAAATGAAAGAGTTAAAAACATATAAATATGGAATTAGTACTACCCATGTATAATGCACATCCTTATTTTCCTTCAAAAATTTGAGCAAAAAAGTGTGCATTATACATAGAAAAATTTCAAAGAACGTGTTCCTCTTCATACTGTGAACAAGGCACTTTGCTAGGCACTGGGGACTTGAAAGATTATTTAAACAAACTTTTTGCCAGTAACAGTTAGGGTTTGGAATGTATAATGGAAGTAAGATTGCATGTGCTTCAAACTGTGCAGCTGAGGGAAGTGTTAATGAGAGGATCCTGCAGAGCCATCTGGGTACAAAGAAGAACAATCCTTAAAGAAATCAACAGAGACAAGAGGGAAGGCGGGACAGGGAAAGGGAAGTGAAGGGGAAAGTCAAGGAACATATAGCAAGGACTCATGGAGAAAACCAAAGGGGAAAAGCTGAGGGAGGGAAGGAGGGAGGGGGCAAGGGAAAGAGGTGGGGGGGAGGCAGAGACAAATATATTTAAAAAGTAAATAAATTTTTAAAAAAGATGAAAAAAATAAATAAATAAAAGAATATACTTTTAAGTCTTAAAAAAAAAAAAAGAACAATCCTGACTCTTTATATAATGTGCCTCTCAGATCCTGGTACAGAGTAGGGCTTCAGTAAAAGCTGGTTCCTTGCCCTTCTCTCCTTTTTTCTTCTACCTTTCCACTGAGTTGGATAAAATGGAGAAATAAGAACCACGAAATTGAGTCTGTAAAGGAGGAGCTGTTTTTATATGGCTAGTGAAGAAAAAAGAGGTTCAACATAGCTTCTGAATTAAAAGCAACTTGCTCAATTTGGACTAGGAGCTCTTCAGGTGTGACACTGAGTGTAGGAATAAAGAGAAGACTGAAGAGGCTATCAAAGATGGGCAGTTTGTTATGTAGATTATTTGACAGGGCAAGATGATAGCAGGAGAAGAAAGATCTTGCCCTCTCAGGGACCAGGAATGTTAGAAAAGGAATGGACCAGAGATATGGAGAAGTTTCCAGTGCTTAGCACAGAGTGTGCACTCAAAAATGCTTGCTCAATTAGCATGACAGAATGCGTAATAGAGAATATGGTAAGGACATTTTGGAAGTGTGCGCAGTTCCATGGAGGGAAAGGAGAAAATAGGGAATAGAAGGGATACAACCATGTTTACCTGGAGTAGAATGGAACTCTATCAGGAGCCATAGGAGGGGACTGAGGGGTGTGAAGAGGAGGTAAGGACAGCCTGCGGGCATAGCAGGAAGCAGAGTTGAGCAGTTTTCAACAAAGGGTGGCAGGAATAGAGAAAAGAGCAGTAAATAATCAAGCAACCCAAACCAACATTTGAGTCCCCCAAGGTAAGCAAAGCCCCAGTAATGTAACAGATAATGTTTTCCAAATTGCCTCATTTGACTGGGTGCCAAGTGAACCACCTAAATAGTAAAAATCGGATAATGGAGCATTTTGCAAATATTAAATGTACTGTAAAATTTCCAAGAATAATACTTAAATTATACTCTTGAGGAGTCAGTTATATAATATCTGTTGGATTCTTACTAATGCTGTATATTGAAATGAAAATTCCATGGCCCATTTTCCATATTAGTTCCCAGAAAAGTCTTTTGGGGGCTGTTTTGGTGAAACCATGTGACATTTGTATCCCAGTTTCTGTGGTGGGCCAGTGCATGAGTGGGTAAGGATGGGAGATATTGGTTATACTTCTAATTAGCTCTGCTCACCTGTTACATATCCAGGCCATTTTGTGTTTGTCTTTTAGGCCAGTGGAAGATATTCACTGAAGGAGAAGCTCAGATCAGCCAGATGTGTTCAAGTCGTGTGTGCAGAACAGAGCTTGAAGATTTGGTGAAAGTTCTATACCTGGAAAGGTCTGAAAAGGGTCACTGTTAGATGAGACATACAGTATTGAATAGGTAAAGCAAGGAAACTCAAGCTGCAGCTGGACTGCAGGCTTATTTTGCTTAAGTCAACAGTGCTCTAAAACCCAAACTCAAATGCAGCTAATTATTCACTCCATACACAGCATAAGTTGCTCCTTTATGTGGAGTGGTATGTCATCCCTTAAACGTCTTCTCCAAAGAGACTAGATGAGTCTTGAATTATTTGCAGGAAGAAGAGAAATGGAACACCATAACTTTGCTCTAGTTTCTGAGAGAATCGCATTTCTTTACAGGTTAAAGAGTAAACAAAACCCCTGGGTTTTTAATCTAGAAAGTTATTCCAGTGAAAGAAAGAGAGGGGAATTGCTTCGTAGTAGGAGTTCTGTAGTACAGAGAAAATATTTGTATGAAATTATACTCTTTGAATTTTAGAACGTCTTGTGTTCTTTTTTAAAAATTCGCACACACACACACACACACACACACACACACATACATACATACAACTACAGCCTTCATTCTGAGGCAAGGCCAGGATAAGACTCTCTCCCTTTATCCTTGGCCTGACTCCCAAGTTGCTTGGCAGTTGTTGATGCCCAAGAGGATAAATAAGGAACTGTGAGCAGAAGGCTCTGCTATTGGGTCTGTGATGATTATTGAAGTCACCAACTATGGTGGCAGGGTGAATTATAAGAATACCATGCTATGGCTGCATTCACTTTGAAGTGGTAAATAACTTTTCCCTAATAATGCCATTTGACTTTTCTCCTCGAACCTATTGGGCCTTCATAAGGAAGTTAGAATTGACTAATATTTTGAGAAACTGAATTTATATTAGACAAATAATTGTTAAAGAAAGGAGCTGACAGACATCAACAAGACCATTTTTGTGTTTTCAAGTCAGTACAAGTCACCAGTTAATAGTGCAATATTCACTAACTTTCTTGACAAGATCATGGTTCTCTAGTCCAAAAATTTAAGTGAAACAATTAAACTCTAGAAGCTCTTTAAAAAGGCAGAGTCTCTTCTCCATTTACAAGAGTAGATTTTTACTATACACAGGGGCTCAGTCTTCATGAGCTTCCACATGTCAGCTCTTCATTTAGGAGGATTATTGCTTATTTGGGAAGATGGGAATTCTGATACAGATCTTTATCATAAACCTTCCAGCCATTCTCATTTCACCCATTAAGCATGGATTTGAATCATGGATCCTAGAGAAGGCTGGTCCAAAAATGTCTATTTGCAGCCCAATACAAGAGCATAAATTATCCATTTTGAGGCCTGGCTTTAGAAATTATTTTGTGGGAATACTGTAAATTCTCTACCACAAAGATGTCAAGTCTGCCTTTTAGGTTTACCTCCTCTAAAGGACATGAATGAACTCTTTCAAGTACTTAAAAATATTAAGGACCCAGAAATCCAAGATTTCCCACTCTATGAGTAGAGGCGAGGCAAACATTTTCTTACAGTATTTGACAGCAAGAAGGAAAAATATAAACAGTTCAGCTTTATGGCAAGTTAGCATTAAGGAGTCTGTTCTCATGAAAGAGACACAGGGGTTTTATGGCCAGACCTTCATGGGACAGCCTCTCATCAGCCTCTCAGCCCCTCACCACATTCTCTTCAGGAAAGGGAGGTAAAACATCCAGGGCTAAAAGGCTACAGTATTTCCATAATGTGGAAAGAAGTAATGATCCTGAAGGAAAGTAGTTATTTCCCCTTCTAGATGACTCACCCTAAAGCCTTGCCACCCAGGTTTTCTCTGAAAGCTCAATCTTCAGGGAGCACCAAGAGAGTTTCCCTAGATAGACTCCTGCCCCCAGGTGATAAGACACCTTTGCAAAGTGCTGTGTGAAGCAGGAGCTGGGAAACTGTGCTGGGCCAACATAGAAAGCCTCCAGTGTTTGCTGTTGTGTAGGGAATAGATGATAGGAAAAAGAGGCCAAGCACCAGTAGTTAGGAATGGATGTGGTCCTCTTGTGTATTTATTTGTATCGTAAACACTTAGAATAACAGAAACCATAAGTACCATTTAGCAGTTGTAGCCATTTTATAGTTAACTCATGTAAACAATTAACAGTAACATAACAGCATTACCCTTTCACTCTTCCCACAAGACATGTACCTAAATATGGTACTTATTTATAGTCACTGTATTTCTGGATTTTTAAATTAATAAAAAGTTAATTTTGAAAAATCATGTGTGGTAATGGCTATGTAAATAATTGACTCTGGACAATGCTGATCTTGGACTAGGTAACAGGTGATGAGTAGTCCTAGCTGTTTCTCACTCAGATTGATCCTCCCCACCCCCCCACCCCACACACACTATAGTATAATGGCTAAGAGAGGAAACTTTGTAGTTGGACTACCTGGGTTTTTAATCACAGCTCTGCACTTATAATCTGTGTTTGTCAATTTCCCCAAATATAAAATGGGGGATAATAGTGGTGCCACTGTCCTTTGCCTACAAGTCTTACAGTGAGTTTTAATTTAGTCAATGTATGTAAAGTGATTAAAATAGTATCTGGTGTACAGTAAATGTTCATTTATGATCATAAAGAATGTCATGGCACTGAACATGGCCATTGATTTCTAGCTTCCCTTTAGGCCAAGACATTTTAGAGACTGGGGACAGCATGCCATTGACTTGGATTTCAAGAGACCCTCAATTTTGGTCTGTCCCTCAGTGGTAGATTTGTATAGGGAGCAGGGTAAGAGTTTTGTCACATATGTTGATCCAAACTCTGTTCCCTCAAACCCGTAATACCAACTAGATTCGTGCTATCACAGAAGCCAAGATATAAGAGAGCTGAAATGTCAAATAACATAAGGATAATAAAGTATATGTCAACATTAGCAACACAGAAGTCATTGGTGGTGAAATGCAGGGGGAGTGATAGAAACAGAATCCAGACATGAGTGGGGAGATGAGAAGTTGGAGACAGCAGTTAGAGACAACTCTTTGAAGAACCTTAATTACAGGGAGTGGAGAAATAAGGTGAGGAAGTAGCTGGAGAAGGATATGAGGTCAAAGGAAAGTCTTTTGTCTTCAATATGGGAGCTACTTGGCCATGTCTGAATCTGAAGGGAGGGGTCCTATAGAAAGAAAAAGATCGAAATTATTGGGAAAAAGAGAGTTAACCTGTTGTGTGAGGTGCATGAGAAGCCATGCCCCCATGATGAGCCCTCAAAACTCACAATTCTTGATCCAAAACCTGCACAGAATTTTGGTCTTTGCCAACCCCTTACTGTGAATTAGCTGAACCTTGTTCCTCTCATTTCTGTTAGATTGGTCCCTTTAACATCCAACATACTCTCTACAGGAATGGTAGACTCTAAGTTCCAATATTACTCCAACTTCATTGGGGCAGCCACCCATAACTCAAACCAGAGCCCTTGGCTCCATCACCAGTCTTCCCTTTCTCTGATCACTGACATCCAGATTGCACCAAGTCCTATAAATTTGCTCTCTTGATCAGCACTGGAGTTTTGATCTGCTCCATTTCTGAGCTAGGCTCATTCGCCCCTCCTTAGTTACAAACTAGTCAAGGGGATGTAAAGTACAACATAGAGACTAGAGTCAATAATATTGTAACAACTGTGTACAGTGCCAGGTGGGTACTTGAAATATTGGGGTATCACTATATAGAGTAAGTATATGATTGTCTACTACTATGCTATGCACATGAAACTAATATAAAATGATATTGAATATAACTGTAATTGAAAAATAATTTTTAATTGCTCTTTTAAATATAGCCCATGTTTATTGGCCTTTGCTCATATCTCCTCTTGCAGGATCTTTTTCTCTCTGTAGTCTTTGTCCTCCCACCCCAGTGATTCCCAGGAAGCTCCAAAGATCATTTCATATGGGCTCAAGGGCAACTCCTGCTGCTACCACATGTTGCTCACCCTTTTACTCCTTTCTTAGTTTAGCCCTCCTCTGTGATAGGTGCTGCTAGACAAAATGACCACCCACTGCTTCCATCACCACACATCTCCTGACATTCACCACCACTTCCAGCTATGATATTAATGGTGGGTACTCCTTTGGCTGGCCTAGAGGTTCCACCATAGTGGTAGTACTCTGGAATCCTATAGTTCCCCAGTGGCACTGTATCCTGTGCACAAGTAGAGGGAATGTCTTCCTCCCCATCTGTAATGTTACACTTGGCCACTGTACATTAAACCAGTTAACACATAGTTCTTGAGTGTGTATTATGTGAACCAAAACAAGGTCTCCCTGTACCTCAGACTTTCCTGGAGGATTTCATTGAAACAAGTCCTTCATGTCCCACTTTCAGCCCTCTTCTCAGAGCTCAGTTGTCAGTATGCAGAAACTGTGCTGAGAGTAAGCCTCCAAGACAAACACAAGACTATCTTCCTAATTCCTTTCCTCTTTGGTGCACATGTACTGCTTCCATTCCCCCACCAAATCCCTCATGCAAAGTGACTTCAGGAGGCCCATTTCACCAGTCTGCCAAACAAGCTCAGGACCTCTGAAACCTCCAAGTGGGAGAAATGAGCCCTTGAAAACAAAGTTCCAGCCACAGGATACAGTTTCTGAAATACAGGGATGGGCAAAAGTAGGCTTACAGTTCATATGGAAATTAATACAATAATAAACAATAATACAAGAATCAACTCTGCTTTATGTACTCATAATAGTAAAGCTACTTTTGCCCACCCCTGTATTTAATACACATTTACGACTTCTGTTTTTGTATATGCTTTTCTCACCATTAGAATGTCCTTCCCTCTTCCTTGCCTTACAAACTCCTGTTTATCCTTCAAAACCCAGTCAAAATATCTCCTCCTCTGTGGAGCCTTGCTGCTCCTCTCCTAGTTTGCCACCATTTTACCTTTCTCTCTATGTACTGTATCCTCCCACCATGCCAACTCCATCCTCCTGGAACTTACCATGTCCTTAGTACTACTGTGCCTTTGCACACAGCTCCCTTTCCCTGGAATATTCATCCCCTGATATCTCTACTTAATGAACACCTACTCGTCTTTGAAATCTAAGATCTCACCTACCTCTTTACAGCACAGTTAGGTTTTTCCCCTCATGCCTGTGCTCCTAGGAAATAATAGACATTTACCCTGTGCTAGTCACTGTAGTAATAAATAGACATGCATGTTTTCTCAGTTAATCCTCACTACAGCCCTGTATGATAGGTCCGATTATTGAACCTGTTTTAGAGATGAGGACCTTGAGAGCATTCACCTTTACTTGCCATTATATGTAAAAGTATGAAGTAAGACACAGTCTCTCCAATTAGACTGGAGGGCTCCAAGAGGACAGGGACCCAGTACCCAGCACTTCCAGAAATTCAATAAATATTTGCCAATTGTATAGTCAATCTGATAAGATTCTATTCCCGGTGTGGAAGAAAGCAGTACAGAGAGTACTTAAATACCCAGGGCCAGGCAGTCCTTCAGGACATTTTCTCTTTGCTTCACTCTAAGGAAAACTAATAAAATCCAGATTAACAAATCCAAGTGAAAAAGTGTTTCTTTTCATTTAAAAATAATTTTCCATATGATATCTTTTAAAATAAATAATAAATATTGGATTGTTTTTTAGTACTTCAATCAAGAAGTCCCTGTATTTGTGGCATAAGCCTCACAACTGTGAAGGATTCTTGCTAAGACTTCAATATTGTGCATGATAAATTGTATCTATATTTCTGCATATATCGTCTACATTGTAATAAAATATTTAGAATAGTTATAGCACATATTACAATACTTTTTACCTATCTCTGTGTGTAAAGAATTAGACTCCAACATGGTGTGTATGACACCTTCACAAAATGGACAATACAAGAGACTTGAGGCCTGGATTCAAGGTAATGTAGATTAGAGGAGTTATGAATTGCTTCCAAGTATAAGCAGTCCCAATCCAGGAATGAAGTATTGACCAAATAGTTAGGCTCCAGCATGTATTTTCTTATAGAAACATCATTCTGTTTGATGCTCAGATTCCCAGACCTGTCTC